CATCTGGTCCAGGACTCTTATTTGTTGGGAGATTTTTTTATGACTAATTCAATTTCTTCACTAGTTATGAGTCTGTTCAAATTTTCTGTTTCTTCCCGTTTGAGTTTTGGTAGTGTGTGGGTGTTTAGGAATTTGTCCATTTCTTCCATGTTGTCCTGTTTGTTGGCATATAATTTTTCATACTGTTCCCTGATGATTGAAAAAGGAAATATTTAGATAGAACTATTTTCCTATCCTTCAGCCATTATTTTCTTAATTTATTTATTTAAATTCAAGTTAATTAACATACAGTGTAGCATTGGTTTCAGTAGAACCCAGTGGTTCATCGCTTACATATAACACCCAGTACTCATCCCAACAAGTGCTCTCCTTAATTCCCATCACCCATTTAGCCCATGTCCACACCCACCTCCCCTCCAGGAGCCCTGTTTGTTCTATGTATTTAAGAGTCTTGTATGGTTTCCCCCTCTATGTTTTTATCTTCTTTTTCCTTCTCTTCCCCTATGTTCACCTGTTGTGTTTCTGAAATTCCACATATGAGTGAAATCATATGATACTTGTCTTTCTCTGACTGACTTATTTTGCTCAGCATAATATGCTTTGGTTCCATCCACGTTGTTACAAATGGCAAGATTTCATTCTTTTTCATCGCTGAGTGGTATTCCATTGTATATACAGATACCACATCTTTTTTATCCATTCATCAGTTGATGGACATTTGGGCTCTTTCCCTACTTTCCCTACTTTGGCTATTGTCGATAGTACTGCTATAAACATTGGGGTGCATGTGCCCCTTCAAATCAGCACTGCTGTATCCTTTGGGTAAACACCTAGTAGTGCAGTTGCTGGGTAGTTCTACTTTTAATTTTTTGAAGAACCTCCAAACTGTTCTCCAGAGTGGCTGTACCAGTTTGCATTCCCACCAGCAATGCAAAAGTCTTCTCCTTTTTCTGCATCCTCACCAACATCTATTGTTTCTTGACTTGTTAATTATAGCCATTCTGACAGGTGTGAGGTAATATCTCATCCTTGTTTTGATTTGCATTTCTCTGATGATTAGTGATGTTGAGCATCTTTTCATGTGTCTGTTAGCCATCTGGATTCTTCTTTGGAAAAGTGTCTATTCATGTCTTCACTGGATTATTTGTTTTTGGGGTATTGAGTTTGATATGTTCTTTTATGTTTTGGATACTAACCCTTTGTCCGATATGTCATTTGCAAATATCTTCTCCCATTCTGTTGGTTGTCTTTTAGTTTTGTTGATTGTTTCCTTTGTTGCAGAAGCTTTTTATCTTGATAAGGTCCCCATAGTTCATTTTTGTTTTTATTTCCCTTGCTACCAGAGATGTGTCTAGTAAGAATTTGCTACAGCTGAGGTCAAAGAGGTTGCTGCCTCTGTTCTCCTGTAGGATTTTGATGGTTTCCTGTTTCACATTGAGGTCTCTTATCCATTTTGAGTTTATTTTTGTGTATGGTGTAAGAAAGTGCTCTAGTTTCATTCTTCTGCATGTCACTGTCCAGTTTTCCCAGCACCATTTGCTGAAGAAACTGTCTTTTTTCCATTGGATACTCTTTCCTGCTTTGTCAAAGATTAGTTGGCCATACATTTGTGGGTCCATTTCTGGATTCTTTATTCTGTTCCATTGATCTATGTGTCTGTTTTTATATGTCTTGTTTTTCCTAATAAGGGCCTTTTTTAGTTATAGAAGTCCCTTTAACATTTCTTGTAAGTCAATTCTAGTAGTGATGAACTACTTTATTAGCTTTTGCTTTCTGGAAAACTCTTTGTCTCTTCTTCAATCCTGAATGGCAAATTTGCTGCATAGGGTATTGTTGTTTCAAAGGATTTTTTTTTTCTTTCATCTTTCTGAATATATCATGACACTCCCTTATGGCCTGCCATGTGATGATATTCTTATGGGGGTTCCCTTATATGCAACAAGTTGTTTTCCTCTTATTTCTTCTAAGATTATCTTCTTGTCTTTAACTTTTGAAAGTTTAATTATATTGTGTCTCAGTGTAGGTCTCTTTGGATTCCTCTTTTGGGGATTCCATGGACTTCTTGGATGTAGCTGTCTCTTTCTCTAGGTTAGAGTAGTTTTGTGTTATTTTTTTTTTTTGAATAAGCTTTATGCCCCCTTCTCTCTCACTTCTCTTTCTGGGACCCCTATAACGTGAATATTGGTCTGCTTGATGGAGTCTTGTAATTCCCTTCGTCTATCTTCACTCTTTTTCATTTTTTACATCCTCTGATTGAATGAAGTCTACTTTTCTGCCTTTGAGTTTGCTGATATTTTCTTCCACTTTATCTAGTCTGCTCTATTAGCTTTGTAAATTCAGTTATTGTATTTTTCAGCGTGTATTTGTGTTTGTTACTTTTTAACATTTTCTATCTCTTTGTTAAAATTCTCACTTTGTCATGCATTAGTCCCCTGACCTTGGTGAGCATCTTTTGGCCATTTTTAAAAACCTTTGTCAAATATACCCTTTATCTCCATTTTATTAAGGTCTGTTTCTGGAGTTTTACCTTGTTCTTTTGTTAGAAAATATTCTTCTGTTTCTTCATTTTTTTCACTCTGTGTTGGTTCCTGCATATTAGATAAAACAGCCACCTCTCCCACTCTTGACAGAGTGGTCTTGTGTAGGAGATGGATCTCATAAATCAGCTCAGCCTTAGCTTTTGGTTGTTTCTCAAACTTATATGATTGTCTAAGCCACTTTTTTTTGTTCTTAGTGCCTCCCAGTAGTTGATGGCGTGTCAAGACCTGTCAGTCTCCCAAAAGGGAGGATCTCAGTCAGCACCTAGATGCAAACTAATTAGAAGCCAGACTCTTGGTTAGCAGCTTTTAAAGTATACAAGTAGATTTCTTTCTAGGCAAGACCAGGATCTGAGCATATCTGTATGCTCCCTTGCACTAAGCCTTGGGTAGGCAGCCAATTAAGAAACTTTTAACTCTTCAGTCCTCAGAGAGAAGCTTGGAATTGAGTTCCCTCCTAATTACTGCACCAGGGGTGGGGTTTATAGTAAGATTGTGTCTCAGCATCTTCCACCCATTTTGATGTGAGTTTTTTTTTTCATTTGCCCAATGTTTAGGAGTCACTCAGCTAGTTTCTTGATTTCTTTCAGAGGAAGTTTCGCCATGTGTAGCTAATAGATTTGGTATGTGCATGGGGGGAGGTGAGTTTGGGAGTTTCCTATGTTGCCATCAAGGATCAGCACCACCAGCATTATTTGTAAAGTGCCAAACTGGAAACTACTCAAATATCGATCAACAGTAGAATGTATGAATAAATTATGGTATAGTCACAAAATAAAATTCTATACAGCATGAAGGATAAATGATCTACTTCTCTATAACACAACAATGATAAATCTCCCAAATATATTAAATGAAATAAGCCAGACACAGCAGAGTACATTCTGTAGTATTTTTTGTTATATAAAGTTTATAAACAAGCAAAACTAATCTTTGGTGACAGAAGTCATGATGGTAGTTATCTTTGAGTTAGGGGAGAGACAAGATGGGAAAGGGGGACAAGGGAGTGTTCTGGGATATGGGTAATGATCTGTTTATTGAGTTGGATGCTAGGGGAAGGAATGTGTTCACATCATGAAAATTCATCAGGCTTATGATTTATGTACTTTTATGTATATGTACTATACTTCAGTAAAAGGTTAATTTGACTTAAGTAAAAAAAAAAAAAAAAAAAGACAGAAAAAAATCCAATATTTTTAGCAAAGGCTTTTCAGTGGCTTCCCCTAGTACTCAGAATAAAACCCAAAGTCCTTACCATGGCCTAAAAGGTTATACATGATCTGGCCTATGGCTATCTCCTCCACATTATTCCTTCCTATTATTCCGCTTGCTTACTTAGCTCCAGCCACATGGCCTTCTTGCTGTTCTGCAAACATAATGAAACTCCTTTCCATCCTAATGCTTTTTACTTGCTATTCCTCTTTCCTGGAACACTCTTCCCTCAGCATGTCACATTGTTGGTTTCTTATCATACAGGTACCAGCTTAAATATCACTTCTTCAAAAAAGTCCTCACTTAACACTCCATCTGAAATAGACTTCCCAATCACTTTTTATTACATTACGGTATTTTTTCTTTATAGCATCTGTAACTATCTATGTATTTATAACTTGTTCTTCATTTGTCTTTCTTAATAGAATGCAAACTCCCCAAAGGCTGGGGTCACATCTGCTATGTTCATCATTGTGTCTTTAACACCTGACATTGCCTAGCACATAGGAGCTGCTCATATAAATGTTAGAGTTACATGAATGAATTAATGAAGATCCCTGGGTAAACTGTCCACCAAGCTATAGCTTGGCTTTTTCCCCCAAAGGGAAACACTTAGAAGTTCTAAGTCATTCTGGGGGCGCCTGGGTGGCGCAGTCGGTTGAGCGTCCAACTTCAGCCAGGTCACGATCTCGCGGTCCGTGAGTTCGAGCCCCGCGTCAGGCTCTGGGCTGATGGCTCAGAGCCTGGAGCCTGTTTCCGATTCTGTGTCTCCCTCTCTCTCTGCCCCTCCCCCGTTCATGCTCTGTCTCTCTCTGTCCCAAAAATAAATAAATGTTGAAAAAAAAAAAAGTTCTAAGTCATTCTGTTAAAAATAAAGCCATGTTAGTATCACCTCTCTTGCCCACCTCAGCTTGATGAATAGAAAGCTCAGATATTTCCCCAGTGCTTCTGTAAAATTTGGCCAAGAGAATGTACTTTAGATAAAACATCATATCCTAAGAAGAGAAACCAGCTAGAACTTACTTCTATCTCCTACCCCCAGATTCTCCAAAGAAAAAATATATATATGGTCAATAGGCAGTGGAGCTCCTCTCTACAGTCCTATATTCCTAAGAAAACGTTGACTTATTCCCACCTTATCTAGGACAAGTAATGAATATAGAAAAGGCCTTATATAGAATTGTTCAATAAGCAAAAGGTGTCTTTAACATGTGTTTGAGGATATCTTTTCTTCTTGTGATTTCATCTTAGATACAACAACTATGACAGAGCTGTCATCAATACTGTGCCTTATGATGTTGTCCATCGTTGGTATACAGCACACCGGACTCTGACAGTAGAGTTGAGGAGACCTGAGAATGAGTTTTGGGTCAAACTAAAGCCTGGCAGGGTGGGTGCCAAACTCTAAAGATGTCAAATAATTTTGATTTAAGGATGTCAAATAATTTTGATTTAAAGATGTCAAATAACAATAAAATGAAGCCAGTGTAGATACTCAATAGATACTCAAGAAACAAGTTTGTCAAGTGCAGGACCTATTACCTACTATAACTTATCTTTGTAACTTCCACCCAGCCTGCTGCAGGGCCATGCACATCCTAAGTTCCAAATGTTTATTTAATCTCAAAAAGAAAAATATGTCATCAAATGTAATCAGAGAACAACCTAAAGCTTTTTTTAAGTGATCTCTTCTGATTTAGAGTTCCTTTGGTCTGCCCTTGTTCTGATGGTGTTTTATTCTCTGTTTTTGCCCATTCACAGGTTCTATTTATAGACAACTGGCGTGTCCTACATGGCAGGGAATCCTTCACTGGCTATCGCCAACTCTGTGGCTGCTATTTAACAAGGGATGATGTATTAAACACTGCTCGTCTCTTGGGGCTTCAGGCTTAAAATTGACAGCATTAGGATTATGAACACACCCGACACCCTGCCTACCAGAATTTCATATCAGCAGAATAATATTGTGTCAATATCTACTTCAAATTGTCTCTTTATCTCATCACACAAAACAGAAGTTGCAACTAGATCAGTTAGAAAGGAAAGCATTTTAGGAATACCAAAGCCTTTATAAAGCAGGATAAAGCAAAATGTTTGGTCTTAGGACACGTTAACACTATTAAAAGTCATTGAGGACCCCAAAAAGTTCTTGGATGTGGATTATATCTATTGATACTAACTGTATTAGATATTAAGACTGAGAAATGTTTAAAATTCAAGAACACAAAATCACACATCCCTCTCAGTATCAGAGAGATGACATCATCACACATCAGGTAGCCTTTGGAAAAGCCTCTGTACATTTATGAGATAATGGGAGTTAAAAAGGCAAATATCACCTTAGTGTTATCATAAAAATAGTTTTTAAACTACAGGCCCACTAAAAGGGTCTCAAGGATCCTTAACAGGTGTTTTCAGACCACTCTTTAAGAACCAGTGAGCTGGAGGATACCTTAGGACAGTCCTTTACATAGACCTGTGGATTAAAGAGTTTAACTTAAACCCTACATTTATACCTACAGTGTCCTATAACTACAGATACTACAGAAATTGCTTCATAACACAAGCTCTGTGATAAGGGAGTAACTAAATACAAACACGTGTTTGTATCTTACAAGAAGAGTTATCTCCATCCACGTCATCTCTTGAGGAGTTAAACTATGAAGTCACAATAGCTCCTGTGGAACAAAACCATCAGTTCAATAATTGTGTGAGGGATAATTACAGAAAGTTTTTAGAGACTTCTGAGGTTCCATATGATAATGCATATATACACACATACGCCACAAGAGAGTACAGAGGGTTAGTCTGTAAGACTGTTCAGTGAACTCATCATGATAGATAATGTGCTTCCAAAGAATTGGACATCATTATCCAAACTTGCATTTTTTCTTTTGACGGAATTTAGGATGCAATCTGTTTTCTCCATTTCTGCTGATCTTTTTTTCCTTCTCTTAAAATATTACACGTTTTAATTGCTAAGATTTGACAGGGTTAAGTTTAATACCTTGTTTCTTTTATTTTTTTAATGGCTTCCTTTACATATGGGTAGAGAGACAGAGAGATGGGTATGAGGCTTATTTTCCCCTAGGTTTCACTGAAAGTGAAGCTGTACAATAACTTCATTGACCACTATAGAATGATGAAAGAGAATCCAGGCTACTATGTGCACAAGAGGAAAAAAAGCATTATTAGTGAGGATAAAAGTCACAAATCAAAACCAATATTCTGATAGAGAGTAGAGTCTAATCTAATATTCACAAAGAGTCCCTAGTTCACATTTAGTAATTTATGCATTATCTAATTGACTCACCCAGTGTCCTAAAGTATGTTCTCAAAATATTTCTCCATTTTATTTGTAGTATATAGGAATCTTTAAGGGTCTTCATGAAATTTGTCATCCTTAGGTCAAAAGATTGATAATTAAGTCTAGGTTTTAAAGAATATACCCGTTAGCAATCAGAGCAGAAGTAACACTTTAACATGCAGTCTATTCTCCCTACTGTTATATACTCCTGAAATATGTCACCATTAGTATTCATCAGGATATTTACCTTTTTTGAAGTCTTGCTTAACTTAGCCTTGAAAATTATATTTTAACTACAGTCAGCATTGGTTTATAACAAGCAAATCACATATTCAGGGCTCTGGAGAGACAGGGATACAGATCAGTCTTTCTCGCTAAAGGATTTCCTTTACCTTCTGTCTCACCTAGGACCTTGATTCATTAATTATTTCACCCTCGCTTGCCTAAATTTTCAATCCATACTTTTCTACAATGTACTCTTTTCACAGGAAGAAAGAAGGAAGGTAATCATTTGAGTATTGCCCATGGTGCATTGAAAACTTTCTTTGTGAGACGTTTCTTTTTTACATCTCTTTCTTGTGTCCCTGAATATGTAAGCATGGAGTCTCTGTCTACCAAGCTCAGTGTAAAGTTACTTTTACCTTTTGCTAAGGTGGGATGGGATCCGTGGGTCAGGAGCACTGCGCCTATCATAGTGTTCCATAGCACCTAACATAATCACTACATAATACAAATTTGTTGGAATAAGAAAAAATTAATAAATCATTTTCAAATAAATTCACCAGAAATTACCATGTTCTTAGTAAATATGTCCTTTTGTGTTTGGCAGTTAACCAGCACTTTTGTTTACCTTCATCTAGAGTAACAAACTATTAAGGAGGGTTCAGGACTGAGGGGTTTCCTGGGCTTCAGAACTTAGTGTTAAAACTGGGAAAGTACCACACAAACCAAGACTATTGTTCTCTCTACCCTCTTGCTGCTAGCTATGTCTTTTTCTTAGGTTCATCACTGGTTCCCATTTCTGTATGAGTGCTCTGTGCCCTCACAACCTGTGTAGTCCATGATGAAAAGGAAAAAAGATGGATAAACTATGGTGTGTTGTGGTGGTTCCCAAAATAGACCAGCAGCATCAGCATCATTTGAGCACTTGTTAGAAATGAAAATTCTCAGCCCCCACCCTGGACTTACTAAATCAAAAACTGTGGGGGTAGAATCCAGCAGTTTGCGTTTTGGAAAGCCCTCTGGGGCATTCTGGTGCCCATCAAAGTTTGAGAATCACTGAAGGGAAGAGCCTTGTTGTTGAGTTCTAGGCTCTATTTTAGCTATAGTTTGCTTTTCAGTTTTCTCTTCTTCACTTTATTTTTTTACTTTATTTATTTATTTTTAGAGAGGACAGGGGAGAGGGAGAAAGAGAGAATCCAAAGCAGGCTCCAACCCAGCACAGAGCCCAACACAGGGCTTGAGCCCACAAACCGTGAGATCATGACATGAGCCAAAACCAAGAGCTGGATACTCAACTGACTGAGCCACCTGGACACCCCCTTTTCTTCACTTTAAAATGGAGGGAGGCCTTGGACTAGGCAACATCTAAAGACTCTGTCACTCTGTAATTTTGTTTGACCTCTCATAGCTTAAGTTTTCTCATATGAGTAGAGTAAGGAAAATACCTACCTCACAGGTTTTTCTAACAAATTTGTAATTATTAAATAAGATGTTTACAGCATATAATGATGACCAACAATAATAGCTAACTCTTTCATAGTGCTTTCCGTGTGCCAGACACTGTTATAACTGCTTTTAATCCCCATAGCAACCTATTTTATAAATGAATAAATAGAGGCAATGAGAGATTAAGTGGTTTACCCAAGATCACATGGCTAAATAAGTGTCAGAGGTTGTTAGAACCTCGAAAATCTGGCCACAGAAACTGCTTTTAATTCATGAAAGTGGGTGATGCGCATTGAGGAGGGCACCCGTTGGGATGAGCACTGGGTGTTGCATGGAAACCAATTTGACAATAAATTATATTTAATATAAAAAATAAATAAAAGTGAGTTTTAAAAAGCAAAAAAAATAATATTCCATATTCCAAAATAAATATTAATTACTTCCCCCTTGTGCATATTTACAGTCTAGCTGATCATTCATAGATAGTAATCATCATCTTCATTATTAAGTTCTTCCAACAGAATCTTAAGAGAACCATGAGAATATCTAGATGTTTTACAAATAGTTTGTAAACATCCACCCCCCCCCCCACTTTTTAAAAAGAAGTGTTTTTCACATTCTCTAATTTTACTTCTTCCAAAGGTAGAAGGTTGATGATAGAAGGAAATCAATCCATTCAGTACTTTTTCCTTCTTTCTACACTGTGCAAAATATGTCAGTTGTTAGGTCAAAACCATTTTACAGGAAATATTCCCATCACTGCCCCAGGGAACTCTAGGGCATATTGAAGATCTACTCACAGGGCCAGCTGGTGGCTTAGTTGTAAAGTTGGGCCATGTCTGTGCCCTCACCTCCTTAAGCCTACAGCTCACCACAGCCAAAGACCCTGGCAGATATGGTAGTAGTTTATTTTTTGGTTCTCTTTCATTGTTGTTGTCAGATTTACATTCAGGGGTTGGTGGGTTTGTGGGTAGTTCTATCCTACTCCTTGGCTTTAAGCAGTGAGTCTGGCTTTTGTCCTCCATCTTGCTCAGAGCACTTCTGGACCAGAATATAAAGTATTAGCTTGATTAGTGGAATCCAAGCTTCCTTCCTGGAAGGCATCTTTAACAATTGTGAAAATCATCTTAAGCCATGTTGGTGGCTTAAGTTAGGTAAGCCATGTTAGTTTCATAGTGGTGTTCTAACCTACTTTTTTATGGGTAGATAAACATAGTAATTTATCCTATGCACAAGTGAAGATCACAAGGGTCAATGCTATGGTGAACCTGTGAAGTCAGTGAAGGTTTTTCTCTGCTAGCCCCACCTTTCTCCATGGTTGATCCTTTGTCCCATTGATGATGGCCACTCCATCCAATTCAGGTATTCAGTATCTTCTCAGCTTCTGCTTTCTAGATCCCTCTCTGATGCCTTGACTGAGGCAGAGTAGTGTCATAGGAAGAGCATGGACTTGAACCAAACTGGGTTTGAATTCTATCTTTGCCTCTGACTAACCTGGTAAATTTGGGGAAGCCACTTTCCTTCCTTGAGCCTCTGTTTCTTCATCTGCAAAGTGGGGCTAAAAATGTCATCTACTTAATAAAGCTGTGATGAATGAAATGAGGTCATGTGTATAAAGTGAGTACCATAGTGAGCAGTACACAATAAATAGTACTTAGTAATTGTTTATCATCATCACCAATATCATTTGAGCAAAAAACAGAACTGAAAAATGCAATAAATGAGATTCAAAACAGACTTGATGCAATGAACACAAGATGGAAGAAGCAGAGGAATTAAGAAGTGATATAAGAGATAAAATAATGGAACATGATGAATCTGAACAAAAGAGAGAATTATGGAACATGAGAATAGATTTAGGAAACTCAGAGACTCAACCAAGCATAATAACATTCATATTATAGGAGTCCCAGAAGAA